GAAATGTGCCCGCGATTGGGCTGGGAGGTATGGCAGGGCGCCTACTTTTGCGCAACAGTGAAATCCCAAAATATCAACCTGGTCCGGATAATGCCTTTAACAGCGCATTTTCCAGGACTTAGCACAAGAATTAGCAGCTGAGTTTTAGATAGTATACTTAGAGTCTTCTACCTTGATACCAACAAATCCGCGAGGAGAGATTTCGCCAATCCACTGCCTTTAGGCAAAACTGTTAGCGAAGTATAAGGAAAGCTATAAGAAAAGATGATTACGCCTGCTCATTCAAATCGTGCACATATTGACGTTCCACTGTGATAAGATCGTTGTCAACCACGGCAGCACGTGTGGAGATCACTTCTATGTTTTCACCAACCGAACCTGAAGTCTTGGCAGTTTAGCCACAATCTGCTGAACTTCGATATCAAGCAGGATGATTAAACTTGCAATATATTTGCTGTTTCTCTGCTGCCACCATATTTGTCAGACTGTCACGAAACGACTCGTGAAGCAAAGCTTTGTTCTTTTCTAGATGGAGTTCCATCAAGCACCTCAAGTGATTGTAAATGTATTTTGACGTCAAATCCGAAATCCATCTTACCTCGTCAATTTGAAGAAGCATGGATAGATCGGGATAAGCATTGTGCCAAGTTGGCTGGAACTATTAACCTGTTGAACAACACCTTGGATACAAGTCAGAGCACGACGAAGCTGAAAACATTTGACATGAAAATAAGTAATTACATGCGTTATGACTGCCATCCAGAACCGTATACCTAAGCATCTCTGCCGAGAAAAAATATAAGTGATTAGAAGCTACACCCGAGTGTCACTGAGAACTAGCTACGCCTCGTCTAATCATGTCCGAGTAGTATCATACTGTTCAAACTACTGATTGTAATCAAACAAGCTGCAACTTCTATGTATGTATGATACCCAGATCTGACCAGCTTTTTTTACCAAAACGATGTTAGCGAAGATGTCCGAAAGAAATGGAGAGAATCTAGAGCGTTGGTGCCATGCAGCTACTGTTTAGTGAACAGATTAAGTCTCAGTGATAAAATGAGCTACTATTCGCGAACACTGATTCGGCGAAATCTCATTTCTTGAGCCCTAGGATAGGAGCTTTGGTGCCGTACATCCCTTTCTCAGCGGAGATGTCTGTGCATACGGCCCTTGGACGTAGGCGCGTATAGAGGACTACAGTAATACTATACCTCAATCCTGTTCATTGTCGATGAATCATCAGCACCAGTACGAGCGGTATCGAAGGCATTAAACTTGATGAATGCAGGTACATCTTCAAACGACCTCAAGCGAAGACAATGAGATATGTTACAAAAAGAGTTGCTGGAACTGACCAAGAGATTCTGTGAAGGTATTCTATGGTAGGACCTGCCGCCATACGAAGTAACTCCAGCTTCACGTGTTCGTCATCAATAGAGTTAGATAATACGGCAAGAACCTACACTTCCATCCTGTTTGTGTCGCAAACATAGTAAGTGCACTTACTTGTAACAACTGCGCCATTTGCATCTTCGAGATGACTTCGTCCACCTCACTATATAGAGATACCATACTTGCTACATGATTCTGGAAAGTTAATGAAAGCTACAGGCTGTCTCGATGACAGTTGCCATAACCCCAAGGCTCAGGTGCTTGCAGTCGTCTTGCTCAGACCTTGCGCGGCGTGGGTGAACGCGCCGCCAGCCTTCGTTTGCTGTCAGGCGCACAAATGCTATATATTTGCGAACGCGACGCAAGGCCGAGCGAGGCGCTACGACACTGTGGATAAGACAGTGTACACTTGATGTATAAAGAAGTACACACGAATGGACATCGAGTATAAAACACTATTTTTGAGATAAAATCTTACCTTGAAGTACTCAGGAAATGTCTGCACAGCCCGAAGGATCAAACTTACAGCATGCCGACTCAACGTTTTGCTGTCCGAAGACATTAGAAGACCACTAAAAACCAGATTTTCTGAAAGAAGCTGGATGGATACAACACTATAAGCAACTGACCGTCGCAAAAGGGAGACATATGTGTTTAACTTCTCATAATCATCCGCATAGCTGGGTAGAAATGGTGAATGGATCGAAAGCATCTGCACTTGCATTTTTCGACAGAACGTGAACTTCAACGACACTTATCACCAACCTCGCTTAAGACGTCACAGTCGGTGATATTCAGCATCTTATTCACCAACGTATCACGCATCCTAATCAAACGTTCCTTCTCCTAAAGTGTTGGAGTTCAAGTCCTTGGTTGATATAGCCAGAAGGCAAAATTCGAACATACCGCACCCACGATATTTCTTTCATACGCAACCTGTATCAGATTTTTTGCAAATCTTTGCATTGCCTCCCATTCAAGTTCGCGGACTGCGGAAAATGAGATACAGTATAAGCTGACCGATATTGAAAGGACTTACTTGATGTAGGTTCTATAATGATTCTCTGTAGGACAGTCTGCTCGTAAACAGTTAACAAGTAATTGAAATGTAAGGCTAGGTTTTCCGAAATGAGTAGCTGGATACGGGAGCGGAATCCTGTAACGTTAATCAAGGTAAGATCCGCAAAAAAGCGGTACATTAACAAATGCGACCATGCTACGCCACACTGACTGATTTCCGAAATTCGCGACATCTGTGGAACACAAAAGCTTCACTATTACACACTTCACTATGAAGCTATTACATTAGCAAGTCAAGAATGTGGAAGTTCGCCACTATTACTTCTCTGCTCTCGAAGTAGTTACGTTTAGTTAGCTTTGAATGGAAAGAGGTGCGCTATATTTAGGTTCCAGAGGCGGTCATTATCTCTAAGGAAGCGTGGGGGCGTCAAAAAAAAACCTTCGAATGAGATTTTCGGGATACTTCCCTAGGATTTTTTTCGGCACTACAACCCGATTTTTTTCGGCACTACAACCCCAAAGTTCTAGGAGTTGGAATCAAATTGCAAAAAGTTCTTTCGCGGCGTGGGTGCCGCCAGGACCCGGAAAAACCTTTTTTGCAAGGTTTCAAATTTATTCCAACTTTGAAAAATATCCTATAGTCACAAGTATAAACAAGCTATTTGCATACTTTTACAGTTCATGTGAATCACCTGCAAAAACTTCGCGACTTATTCTCGGGACAGCCGCCTGCCCCCTTCTCACTCCGCCACTAATTGATTCCGATGTGGTCATTAGCATAACAATTACCATGAAACCGGCAGTATTCGCGCTTCACGGAGAGAATGGAGCACAGTAGTCATAAGAATTTAAAAAATTTGTATAGATGACATGGCCGCACTTTCGGCTCCGATAACATTTAGTCCCGGACGTATCTCGTTGACAGTGACTGTCTGGAGCGGCTTGAACTCTGCATGACCGCCTCATTTGAGCTTGATCACATTCGCATACGTATTTCCTGATCATTTTCCCAAAAGTGGTCAACAGGAGAAGCTTGCCTCTGTACCATTCCCGGGAAATAATCAGACATGTTCTCAAACGCGGTACAGAGCTCAAGCGAGGCGGTCGCGCAGGATCGAGCCGCTCGAGGTGGCGTCACTGTCAATGAAAAGAGGGTATACAGTCTGCCTCAGTAGGAATCAGGCCAAAGCGTTGGCTTGAATTTGCGCACTCGCAACGCTAGAGGTTTGCGCTGTATATGCGCGCTGTGCCGCCGCGCTTGCGTGCGTGTACTTCTGAGCATCCATCTCCGTCCGAAGCTAGACTTTACTCCAAGCACACTAATGATGTTGCTTCGCTATCAATGAGTCGCAGTGCAAAGAGAACGGCTGGAATTGAAACAACCAAAACGACTCGAAAGCGTAAAGCGTGCCGCCACAATTGCACTGTTGTTAATCGAAGATTTCTTTTAGACTAGTGAACCAGCAATGTAAAGGTGCCACATTTGC